CTATAGTAATTTATATATAGAACCACGTCACGTTTCACTATGATCATTCTTCAGTTGACTGGAGAATCGTCAATTAATAAGTTTGACAGAATCACTAGTAAGAATAATAAATACAGTATCTGCTATTTTTTAAAGTTTACTAGTACTAAATCTTATTATATTAATATTTTAATTTATTTTTGTTAGATTCTTTTAATTACATCCTATTGTGATTATTATAATTCATATCCATTATTACTATGGCTTTACAGGTCTGAAGGATGTAAGCACTTTTTTGGATTATGCTGACAAATTAATAATAATTTTACCTTTTCTGATTTATTATATATGGTTCCAAAAGTATCATATATATATAAGGCATATATGACTAACAAATTGAATGAAGTAATTAAAAACAAGACCTTTGGAGTTGGTAAGAATAATTCTATTTTATTTATTTTATATGAAATTAAGTTCTACTGTAATTACCTATTTTTATTAGGCTATATTATATATTATAATACTGAAACACTTGCAAAAACAATTAATATATTATGTTGATGGCCTTTAGATGATGATTTATTTTATGCTATTCATAAGGGGTACCAACAGGCTTGAAATTTTGTAAAAGTTCTTTCAATAGTTAATCAAAATGATGAATTTTTTGATTTGTTAAATATTTCAAATGAACAATCAAGCCAATTAAACAATGAGAATGATTTTTCAAATTTTTTTATTAATAATTCATCCCAAAGCAACGAGGTTTCTGATTCTCATACAATTGCCATGGCAGCAAATGTTGTAGCAGATTTTAATATATTAAATCTTTGTGACGATGATATTGAAAATGATTTAAGAGATGCACGTTTTGAATTAGCTTTTTTGTTATTAAATACGAATTCTTTAAATGATCAGAACTTTTAGATAATCAAAATCTAGAGACACATAAAAACTTTTATACTGGTATTACAAAAGCAAGAATTTTGAATGTTTTTTATCTAGTTAATTTGCGAAAAAATCATAAATGCTATAGTAATCAAAATATGGAATGAAAAACTAGTTGTAAAATTTAGGATTTTAGTCATACAAATTCTATTTGTCCAAACACAGTCAGTAGTTTAATTGCAAATTATACATCAAATATTGAAATATTACAAGGTGAAAAATTACGTAAAATTCAGTGGAAAAATCGTAGTCACTTGTCTATATTATCAAATATGAATAAGAAAGTTGATAAGTAGTTAATACTGTAAAAATATAGGAGTTCAAAATGCTTATTTAATAAATTATTTTTAAAATTTAGATTTAAGTAGAATAACTATTGCTAATATCGGAGAACATAATCCTCTTCACAGACATAGATATGGGTTTTCTTATATTAATTACGAAATTTGTTTTGTACAAATTTTGGCATTATATCAGAAGAATTCTAATTATCATTCTTATATATGCAGTGATGTATTCAATATTGATTCGTTATCTTATTTGTTGGTAAAGGTTTTTTTTTCATTTCAAAATAATATTTTTTCACCTATAGCCAATTCTGAATATATGATTTTTAGCCATATTAGTGCTAAATTTTTAATCTATTTTCTTGGATTCAGTGATTTTTTTCATATTGATCAGCAACATAATTTGATAACTCTTTTTGGAAGGGCTTTAAAGTTATATAGGTTTTTTAATAAGCACTTTACCAAAAATTTGTTGCGAATTGTTGTTAATTCTGAGGATTAAACTATGAAGATAATAAATTAATAAAATGGTTAGCTCTCCAAAATGAGTTATCCATCTTGAAATTTTTAGCTTAAAATAAATTTAAAATATATTTTTGTTATATCGATTTAGTGTAAGTATAATAATCATTTATTAATCAAAGCATTTAAGGTAAGTTATTCTTTTAGTGTAAGTATATTACAGCTGTTATCATTATTCCTAGGACATCTGATAAAAAATTAACCAAATGATTATTCTGCCAATTCAATAAGTTATTGACTTCAGCATAATCAGTATAACGTTCACTATTTACAATAACAATTATTAATCAATAATAACCAGATAATCAATATCAATATAGCTTTAGACATCCCTAATTAAATAAAATACTTTCGAAGTTCGCTGAAAAAATTTAGAAGTTATCAATTCGAAATGTTTAACAGAACCATGTTTACTAAAAATGAAATATCTAAATCCTTTAATGAAGCAAAATGGAACTTAGTTTGGGATATAAAATTAGTCTTATAATTATATATCAACTTAAATATACACATCAAAAAGTATTTTACATATATATATATATATGTTTTATTTGTAGATTTATATATCCAGTAAATTTTTGTATATACTAAACAATATTTAATAATGTGAAATGTTATTTGTAAACAAGTATTCATGTAATAAAAATAGTGATAGCTTTTATATACTGATCATGCCGAAATCAATAACTTATCAAATTGGCAGAATAATTATTCGGTTAATTTTTATCAGGTGTCTCAGGAATAATGATAACAGCTGTAATCGAATCATTTAAGGTAAGCAATCCTTGTTTACAATCATTAATTGCATAATGATTATTTTATTTATATTAATTTTATTCTTATTCATAACAATTTTCATTTTATCAAATTTTCAAAAAAAAATTTTTTTAATGCTGAATCAATTGGGAGTTGAGAAAAAATATAGAAAAAAACACTTAGTACTGCTGTAAAAAAAGATTGCTGAATAATATCATTAGGCTATACAAACTTAATAAATCGGTTCTCATAACCCGACCAGGTCGAAATTTACAAAACTTTAAAAAAAAATTTTAAGTATACTTATTTCCGGATGAGTTTTTTTAAAATCTATAAAAAATTGAATTTATTTAAAATTAACCGGTGGTGAAATTCAGCGGCATAAGAATTTTAAGGTTAGGGTGTGGTTTTAGGTTTTTTTTTTTTATATATAATATAGAGTAGATATAAGGTCACGATTTAAGTTCTCATGAGGTTTTCAGGGGTCCTGAACATTTTTACTTAACCTACCCAACCCTGTTTCATAGTGCAGTTTTCGAGATATAGCACCCCGGTGAATTTCACCTCCGGTGAGTATTAAAATACTTTTAAAAAATTTTATATGTTTTTTATATATAAAATTTTTTGAAAATAAAATTAAAAGTCGGATAGCCGGGTCACTTTGGAAACTTTTATATTATAAGAACCGATTTATTAAGTTTGTATAGCCTTAGTTATTTACCTCTCATTTAATTTTTATTCACGTTGATTAGTTTGGTATGTATAACAAGTTTTTATCAATTGAAATATTTACTATTTATTCTTATTTAACTTCTTATTGAATTTATAGTTTAATATTTGTAACTTAAAATATAACTGAATTTACTCGAGAATTGGTATCAGATTTGAAAAGTATATTAAAACATTAACAATATTGGCATCTAAATAGATAAGTTTAATGTTGTGAAAGTTTTACTTAGACGTAATATATATGAAACAATTGTATTTAATTTTTGTGAGCATTTTTTAAAAACATCAATTTGTATAAATATTTTTTTATAAAGCATATATATATATTAAAATATGTATATTTTACTGAGATATTTACTTGTTATAAATTTTTGTATCAAAGTCTTATTCGCATATAACAAATTTCTAAATATATGCACATGTATTATATAAGTGCCAGGAAATCTATTATCGGGCTTTTAATAAATTAGATTATATCCAGACAAATATAATTTAAAGCAATGATGGCAGGTTTTCCACACTCATATGTTATATAATAAAATCGGACATAAAACTGTAAATCGAAAGGTACAAGACTTAAAATGGACAAAATTAGGCTTCTTAAAACGGACAAAATGCTTGAAAATTTATTATTAACTCAGCTCATACCTTTATTAGTATTATCTGGGGTCCTTCATAATTCCTGTACAATGCAAGAAATTTATGAATGTCTAAATAGTGTAAAACTGAGATTTTATGAACTTCCAAATCGGGATTTCTTAAAACCTTAATTACAAGATAATATATTCAATATTTCAGAGCAAGGGTAAATATTATTTAAATGTTAATATATCATGATCGTGTGATCAGAATTTAATGATTTTGATACCATTCGATTCGCCTCGACGAGACAGTTTGAATAGTATCAAAATCGTTACATTCGGTTCACTAGATCGTGAGTTATTTGCACAAAACTATCTGCCATGCAGAAAACTTAAATTTTTGTAGGGCTGTGTTGCAAATTGTTTTTTGCAGATATCTCTTGAGCTAGTGATCAGAATTTGATGATTTTGACGTTATTCAAATCGTCTTGTCGAGATGAATTGAATGGTGCTAGAATCATTAAATCCTGATTACAGGATCCTGATATATTGGTAAAAAACAAATTTTTAAAAAATTTCAGAAAGATTTGCAAGAGAAACGGTTTAGGAGATAATAATACAGAGTAGTTGGAAGGAACTCTCATTTTTATGGGTTAGGGCTCAAGGAATTCCTTCCTTTAAACGTCTGTTATTCATGCTTTTTATTAAATTTATTTTTTAGTAATTTTATATTCAATAAGCTATCTATTAAAATCTGACAAATTGACCAAGAGAACATATTGAACTATATTATCTCTAATCCATTCAGTATGTGTTAAATGCCATCCTGAATACTCTGTGTTTTCTGATGTAACATATTTCTGGAAACGAAAATTATTAAACATGTCGTTTATATTTGGAACAACGAAATATAGATGAATTGGTAGATCTTTCAGATTATTTTCTAATTTATTAAGACCGTTACCTGCATAAATGAACATATTCAGTCTATAATAGTAGATACAAAGCTAATATAAAGTCCAATATTTACCTTTATATCATGTGTTTCTGCTGTTGTCATTTGATATAAATGATGAATTCCATTACGATTAGGCGCAATAGTGTCAACAGATTCAAAATTTGTATTTTCGGGAATGTTATAATACCCTGGAACTATTTCATCAATATTATGAAACTGTTGGTGTAGCAAATTTTGAAGGTGAAGTTCTTTTTCAGGTTGTTTAATACTATCTCTGGTTAAGTGTCGCACTGTGAAATCGCCACCTTTCCATAAGATATCATGTGCTACCATTTCAAAGAATTTGCCAGCTAATGTACCACCAGCACTTCTTACAAAATTTCAGATGATTTTAATAATCATGTCTTTTGTGTTTTTTTTATAGTACCTGTACAAAGCCTCATATATTTCTGTTGAAGCGGGAACATATATTTTATCCATAAATTCAAAGTTCGGAATAATATATATGGCTTTTCCAGAATAATCATCACCTAAGTCTTCACCATCATTTTTAAGATAAACATAAGCATCACATTGAAAGACTACATCATCAACTTTCGGCTTATAATCATATTCATCAAAAACACATCGTGGTATACATCCCCATCGCGTGATCAACTTTTTGACTCGACTCTCAGGTATTTTATTCTTATACTTTACATTCCAAACGGTCTAAATTTCTTCTTCAGTCCAAATTGGTGCGTAATATTTCTTAACATGCCCCTTTACAAATTCATGCCACCGACTACTTTTTGGCATCGTAACCAGAAACGTGAATATCGTTTTCCATGGAACGGGAATTACAGAATTAGCAATATAAAAGCTATCTTGTGGAAATTTACGTGTTAGATCAAGAATTTTCATTACACTTATATTTGGTTTGACATGAAGGGCACGGTAATAACCTTGGAATAACTGCTCATAGATTATATCTGCTGAGGAATATTGACGAGCTAAATAAAAAGCCAAATATAGCAAAAAGTGTGTTTTTCCAATGCCAGGTGATCCAATTATAATACAGCCTCTTTTTTCATGATGAGTACGATCGTATTCAATCTTTTCAATCATCTGCAAGTATAACTCCTTTATTAATATATCCTGTATTGATATTCCATAAACAATTTCATATAGCGATTTACGGAGACGTAGAAATTTCACAAAATTCATTTTAATCTTTGTTAATTCCCACATCACAGGTTCACCATTATTAAGTATTAGTTCATTTTGTGCATTAAACATTACACAGTTACTCAACACAATTTCGTTCCCTTTAACACTTATATATTCGGATAATGGTCCAGACACAAACATAGTTTTATCAATATTATCTGGTAGTTTAAGGACAATATTCGCGTCAGAAAGTTCATTCCAAAATTCTTCCTCATGAGAAGTAACAGATTCATGGTTATAAAATTGAGATTCATCCGATTGCTTCATTGGGGTGGAAAGTGATCCAGAAATTCCTGATCGAATAAAAGAATGAGATAACTGCAAATTTCCTCGTTTGAAAGCAAAACACTTACCAGCGGTGACATGTGGTTGCACAATAATGCAGATGCTAAAAAATTTAGTATTTTTGGGTTCTTTGTGAAAAACTGTTTCCATAGTAGCGTTTGAGAGCAACTTTACACCTTTATAATCATTAATGTTTTCGGCAAATATTTTCGTGTTTTTGTTTTCCATACCGATAGGAATATCCACCTTCCACAGCCTCAGTTCATTTGAATCAATATTGGCAAAGGCGTTCTTTTTCTCCTCCTTGATTAATTTTTTGAGGTGCCTAACGGTCATGCCTTTATCAATATCAACCGGGAAAGATTTTTCAATAGCATCACCTAAAACAAGACAGAAAATTGGACAGTTTTCCGGATTCATTAGAATAAAATTTAAACCTTAAATTCAACCATTCAGTTATTATATAGAATCCTAAATATCATAATTTCAGAAATGGCATTGCTATGAGCTTCCAAAAATAGTAAAAACTAAATTCTAGAAATACATAAATATTTTATATAAAAAAATTGTAAAGATTAAATTCTAAAAGTACAAAAATAATTTATATAGAT